TCGCCGGCCCCGCCGCGGTCCTGGCCGCTCCACATTCCCATTGGGGGCTGCTCCACATTCCCGTCGGGAGCGCGCGCGGCCTCCGCCGTGGGCAGCCGCGCTCCGCTTGCCCGCATGACCCGCGCGGCGTCTGCCCACGGGTGACTCACGAGCAGAGCGATAAGGGAGCAAACAAACCGCCTCCAGACCCCCAGCCTGGGGCTCCTGGCCTGAATCACTTGTCTCCTCTGCTCCGTGAGCTGCTGACACATCAGCCGGGCGCCTTCGCCCCGGCATTTTCCCTTGTGTCACCTCCCCCGGGCTCTCACGGAGCTGATTGTCACACAGGGTCCTCCACGGCGTCACCAGCGAAGGCGAGCTCAGCTGTTGCTCCGGGAAGCAAAGCGGATCCCACTCTGGTTTTGCTGGAGCTGCCCGAGATCCAGTGCTCCTCGCCGGGCTGGATGCACGAGCGCGTTCGCTGCTCGCTTGCAAGCCCGGGAGCTGCTGCGGCGAGCGGAGCAGCCGGGAGCTCTCGCACGGAGCCTCCTGCCCCTGGCCACGTGAGGCCGGAGGCTTCGCCGGCAGCGCGGCCGCGCTGCCGGCGAAGCCTCCGGCCTCACGTGGCCCTCCCGGGATTTCCGCCCGCACGTGGCCCTCGCGCCGTGGCAAGAAGCTTCCTGCAGCAAGCGCCCGCATCGCCGGCTCTTTCCCATTCCCATTTCCTGCGGCTGGTCGCGTTGCCCCGGGAGCGCTTTGGCACAGCCGTTCCGCTCACCCTAGCAGGAGCGGGGATGTGTTTATCACTTTTCCTGGAGATTATCTGTTTAAGCACTCCCTGACAGTTACAATAACAAGGGCAGCGCGTTGCGTTTCCCAGCAAAAGGACACTCGCTGCTGAAAGATGTATAGCACTAATTAGAAATACATAACATCCGGCCACATGGCAGCCTTCTCCCGGCCGCTCCATTTCCTGAGCTCGGACGACTTTGACGACAGTTGGTTTATGTTTTCCATGAATATAATGTTCTCAGAGAAATACAGATTTCTCCCCATTGCAGAAGTCCCCGTTCGCTGCGTCTCTGTCTTCCCTCTCGCCGCGCGCTCCCCCTGCTCCCCCTTCCTCGCGCCAGGTAGATTTATGGGCGCCGAAAGCCGGGCTTGGATCCTGCTGCCGGCGGAGTCGGGGTGGCGCAGGTGAGCCCTCGGAGAAGGAAGCTGCCTCCCGGTGCAGGCACTCGGACCGTGCCCGCCTGGAGCATCCCCCTCTTTCCTGCATGCAAGGAGCCAGGAGGGCTCTATGCCGCCCGGAGCGGTTTTGCAATCATTAGGGGAAAAACAGCCCTTCGATAGCTCCTGGTTGCTTTGCCCCTGTGCTCAGGGTGCTCACGAGCTCCCGTTTTTCCCATCCTTTTTCCCTGCACTCCCTGGGCGCCGGGTGGAGGACCTGGGTCTGGCTCCAGCTCATGGCATGAGCGGTGCCAGGACGGTTTGGCCAGGCGCCCTTCGCACCGGGCTGGCACGGACCGGGTGGGATGTGCAAGGGGCTCCAGGATGGGCCGCGCTCAGGAGGGTGCAGGCTGAGAAGGTTTTAGCTGCTAAAACGAATTGCTCTTGAATGTGGAAAAACTGCTGTGTTTCAGATGTTTCTAACTTGGCCAAGCATGGACAGATTTCTAGTAGGACAGGAAAACTCTCTGTTCAAGGGGGTTATTCTGCAGCAAAATCTCACATCCCATTTCCAGGATTTGAAGTTCCTAGATTAGCTCAAGGAAAAGGTTGTAAGTTTTGGTTTGTTTGTTTTCTTTTCTTTTTTGTTACTTCTTTGCTAGCACGGGTGAGCCGCTCTCTTGTTTCCTAACCTCGTTCTCACACGGAGTCAAACTGTTTTGGCTAAAGATTCCCGGAAGAATCCAGCCTGAGACAGGCACCCGGCATGGAAAGTTCAGCTCCGATCGTTAAAGTTTGAGCCAACTGGAAAAAAAAGGGGTCTCCGAGTGGCTAGTGTCAGGCAGCCTGAATAACGTGGTGCTAGAAACGTGGCCCGCAAAGTCATCCCGCTGCTGGTGAGCCCTGGTGCCCACGGTGGGTTTGTTGTGGCTCTAATCGCTGATCCCGGCGTGGAAAGATGGATCTTCTAGACAAATCCAGCCCGTGAGGCATGGGGAAACGCGGGTTAACCCGGCTGCCGTTCAGTCTGCAAAGCGTTGGAGGACATTGGTGGTGTGAAGTGCTCTGCTGCTCTGGTTGTGGGTGCTCCATGGGGCTGCAGGTGGCCGAGAAGCAGCTCCCCGTGGAGAAGCCTCCCGGCCCTGGCTGGCAATGGGGTTTGACAGCGGGCACTTCGCTGATGCCATCGTCCTTGTGAACACGGCGCCGTCTCTTTTGGCGTATTTCTCACCAAGCTGGTTGTGCTCAGCCAGGGTCGGCTGCACCATGTGGTGCCGGGCACCTTGCTGCAAACCCAGACAGGGGAAAGCCCAAGATTCAAAACACTCCCCAAGCCTTTGCCCAGGCACCCTCAGTTCCCTGGACACTTGTGTCCGCACCGTGACCATCTTCTGTCCCTGGAGTCCCTCGGGGGCTGGCGTGGGCTCTGCCACCCCCAGCCTCTGTGCGGTGACCACCAGCTCCGAGCTGCAGCTCAGCTAGTGCTGGAGCTTCCTGCCTCCCAAGGAAAGCGATGAAAACACACAAAGGGAAAGTTTCGCCTGATTTATGGGGCTTCCTCTCGTGCTCTAGCACGAGCCCTGAATAGCCGGTGCTGGTGAGGCTGCGGGTGCCAGAAACGCGCTGCGCTCTCACCCGGGCACCCTCCCTGCCCGCAGGGAGGCTGGCGCGGTGCTGGCTCCCTCCTCCAAGGGACACCCCTGGGCTGGGCCTCCAAAGCAGCTTTTGGAGCCCTGGCAGTTTTGCTTAATGTCGTGATGAGGTGGCACGGCCTGCGGTAGCTGAGCTGGAGTTAGGAGCAAATGACCCTTTTATCCCAGAATCACAGGATGGTTGAAGTTGGAAGGGACCCTTAGGGATCGTCTAGTCCCTGGTCCAGCAGGAAACCCAGAGCAGGTGGCACAGGGTGGCATCCAGATGGGTTTGGAAGATCTCCAGAGAAGCAGACTTCACAACCTCCCTGGGCAGCCTGTGCCAGGGCTCTGGCACCCTCACAGTCGAGAGGTTCTTCCTCACATGCACATGGAACTGCCTGGGTTTCAACATACACTCATTGCCCCTTGTCCTGTCACTGGCCACCACTGAGAAGAGCTTGGCCGCTTCCTCCCTACATTCCCCCTCCGGGTATTTATACATATTGATCGGATCCCTTCTGGGCAAATTTAGGCTTTCATGCCCTCTTTTTGGGGGTGGCTGCCAGCCCGGCATGAACACGGGGCCCGGCGCCCCTGGGTAATGCCCACCCGAAATGTCCCCCTGCAGCCGCTCACGGGGTGCCCAGCGTTGTCTGTGCAGAGCTGTGGCCACACGGAGACCTGCCAGCGCTCACGTGTGACAGCGTGACGGCCACGGTGACACCCCGTGTCCCTTTGGGAAGCCAAGAGCGTCAGGTCCCCAACCGGAGCGAGGGGAGGAGGGAGCTCAGAGAAGACGGCTGTGATTTCTTGGACTGGGCTACGGCCAGAGCACTGGGACTAACACTCCTAATTGTGGGAAAGGCTTCATGAAAGAGATTTACTGTCCCAGAGCGGTCACATCTCTAGTTTTATGTTTCCTCCGAAAGTTGACAACCCCTGATGGGCAGCACTTCCCTCCGCTGCTCTGCAGCCGGCTCAGCCCTGGCACCAAGGGCAGAGCACCTCGCTCAGCTGGCGGGCACTTCTCCTGTCACCCTGTGTCACCCGTGGCGTCTTCCCCGCTGGGCACCGGACCCATTGGTTGTTGAAAGAGCAGGTCATTTTGTCCCGTGTTTTCGAGGTGTATCTTAAAGTTGTCTTATGGCTGTTTTTAACTCTCTTCCTCATTGCTCTGAAATGATTTATTTTTAAAATCCCCCATTTGTTCTCTGCACCGCCAGTGTTTTGCTAACCCCTGCTGCCACGGAGTCTCCCCGCCTTGCTTAAATCCCCTGGCACTTTGCTCGAAGTGAACCCCCAGAACATATTGTGTCGCCTGCGTGCGGTGCCAGCCTCTTCCCGCAGCAGAGGTGCCGGGGGGCTCCGGAGGGGGCTGCCCCCGGGTGCTGCAGTGGCCAAGAGCCGGGCGCTGGTGCCGCAGCGGCTGAGGGATGGGGCTGCAAGGTGCCACTGTAGAGTGGGAAACCCTCCGGCCCCCAGGGCAAGTGCCTGGCCCCCAAATGCCCCCCATATCCGGGGAGGCTGCGGAGCGGGGCACAAGGAGCCGGCGGGCAGAGGTGTCTGGATGGCATCGCATCCGTGTCCTGCGTGGCTCCTGCCCAGCCCCAGGCGCTTCCCTCTAGCCAGCGCCCCGCTGCTCTCGGCAGCCTCAGAAGTGGTTCCTGGCTGGGTGTAGATGCTCCAATGGGATTTGCTCGCGCTCCGAGCCGGCTCGCCTTGGAAGAGCTGTGGTTGTGTGGCATCTCCTTGAGTAACAGCTCCAATTAAGTTCTCTTGTCAAGCTGCTGTGTGACTGGCGAGCTGATGGGAGGAGCCCCCTCCTCAGCTGCTGAGGTTAAAGCCCCAGCAGGGGTGGAGATCAAGCATGCAGCTAATTACCCTTTTAACACTCAGGCTTATGCCCTCCTTTGGGGAAAGGCATTAGTTCCCACAGCAGCTTCTGTGCTGGGAGCCTTGAGTGCTGTCCTGGGTTAGCACGTGAGCTGGTTTGGGGCATGACATGGGCAGTGAGACCAGAGCTCCTTTTTTCCCAGAACTGTTTTAACCTTCTTTTTTTTTTTTTTCCCCTCTCTTTATAAGAATGACATGGGCTAGGAGAGCCCCTTTCCCCTGCAGAGATCCCTGTTTGTTGAGCGATGTGGGAAAGGAGGGTGCAAGATGAAGCCAGGAGGGAGCGTTGACCTGCTCGTGCTCAACTCTCTCTTTGTCTCCTAGAGTGTGTCTCTGAAGACTGTCGCTCTGTCATCCAGGAACAGGCCACGGCCCTGGGGCTCTCCATGTTCTCGCTGTTGGTGAAGAGGTGCACGAGCTTGCTGAGGGAGTGCGCACAAGGTAAGGAGCTTAGAAGCAACCTGGGGAGGCCCAGGCTCTCGTTCCTGCTTTGCTATATGCCTCTTACTCCCTGGTGGTGCCTTTTCTTTCTCCCTTGGCATCCAAACTTCTGCCCTGCTGAGTTGTGGCTGGTTTATCCATCAGGAAAACCTATGTGTGTGTAGATAGAAACACTTGGGAAAGGGATGGACATAAGGTGCACTTTGTGGCACGTTTTGGAAACACCCTGAAACTGGGACCCCGGGATCCTACCTCTATGACTGACATGCTGGCACCCTGTTGCCCTCAGTAAAAGGGGTGGCAGGCATCCCAGCTTGTCCTCCAGAGAAGGAGGAATAGCTCTGACTTTGCACTTGCTCTGGGCTGTAGCTTTTCCCTTGTACCTGCAAACCTGGGGTGTTGGGGTCCGTGGTGCATTCACTGTCACTACCTAAGGCAAAGGGTCTGCTAGAGACTCAGGGCTCTCAGGGGTTGGCTGCTGGAAGCTGCCTCAGCTCTTGTGTCTTGTATTTGCAGCTCAGCCACAAGAGATGGAGCAGGAGGATGAGGAAGATGATATCAAGGTCTCTGCCTTGCCTCAGGACCTGAAGGAACTGCTCCCCAGCGTGAAGGTCTGGTCAGACTGGATGCTTGGCCACCCAGACACCTGGAATCCTCCTCCTACGTCTCTCGAGCTTCCCAAACAGTACGTGCATCTTCTGGTCTGTCTTGTGCTGTCTGCTCCCTTCCTGGGGCTCCTTGTGCTGCCTTTGCCCTTCATTTGGGTTTGATCCAGGATGTAGCACTCTCTGAGCACTACTCTGTCATCTAGAAGAAGCTCATGAGGCAGGAATGTTTGGTGGGGATCTGCCACCCTTGGTGACGGGTGTCCAGCTCAGGAGAAGACCTCGCACTGAGGGGGCTGGGGTGGCTCTGAGGGGCCAGGTGCTCTTTGCTGCTGGATTTGAGCTGGATTTTTACCTTGTGCTTGGGATGTGCATCTGTTTTTCATGGGATGCATCTCCTTTAAGCCCTCTGCTAGCCAACCAGCTGAACGGAAGGGGTCTTCCTCTCCAGAAAAAGACAACTTGCAGCCGTGAGGGTTTCACAGCCTTTTTTTTTTTTTTTTTTTTTTTGACTAAAACCAGGAAACCTTGGTCAGACAGGGCTGGGGGCGAACAGCTCGCCTGTTCCTCAAACTCCAAAAGTCGCCTCCCATCCGCTTCCAAACCAGCTTGTCTCTAGCCCTGCAACATCAACAAGGGTTAATTTTCTAAACTGGCTGATTCCAGCCCATTAGTCCATAATGCGGACTAGGCAATTTGCATATTTTTGGACAGAAAATCGAGTGAAGGGGCCAAGTATGGAGTATGCGAAGCAGTGTCTGAGCATGCTCCGTAGCTGCTTTCCCGCAGGATTTTCCATCTGCCTCCGGTACTCCGGATCCAGAGCTTGAAATCACGTCTTATTGTTAATCCAAAGGAGCCAGAACCCAGGGTGATGGGAAGACGCATTAAGAGTAATCCAGCAAAGTGGCTTAACCATTAATGGGTCCCCGCTCCGTGCGTCAGGTCCAGTCCTGCTCTCCCTAGTTTATTGCCTCTACTCCAGTTCTTTTTCATTTGGCTGAGGAAATGGAAATCTCACACAGGAAGTTCTGGGCCTCATTTTGTGGAGATGGAGTCTGTTTTCTGTTTGTCGGCTGCTCGGTGTGGGCCCGCTGCCTGCTCGTGTGAACCGCTGCCCATCTTTGGGCAGGAACTCAACGCGGGCTCCGTCACGTGCGCTGCCTGTGCACCAATGGCCCCGCCGGGCCGCGCCGCCGGTGCGGGGAGCCGCCGGCCACGGGCGGCCCTCGAGATGGAATTTCTGATCGGGCTCGCGCAGCTCGGCGCCTTCCAGGGAACGGCGGCCTCCCGCTGCTCCGGGGCCGCTCCGGCTGGGATGGGCACCGCGCTGCCGTGGCAGGTGTTGAGCCTGGCTTTGTGATGAGGCTGGCGAGGGCTGTGTTGGCCTCCCGGGCACCGTGCTGCATGGGCTGGGGGCTCTGCTCCACTAAGCCCTGCTGCTGAGGAGGGACGTCCTCGTGCAGCGCGCTTCCCCGTTGCTTTCCCTCCGGAAGGTGCCTGAGCTGCTCTTCCTGCCCTCTCTCTGGCCAACTTCATGTTGACTGCCGGCTCCCTCAGGCTCGTGCTCCTTGGGGACGTCTCTGGGTTGTGGTGACATGAGCTGGGCTTTCAGGCCAGACCTTTTGTGTCAAGCGAGTGTTGGGGACCCAGGTGTTGGTGGTCTGGGGCTGAGGGAGAGCAGTAGCTGGACTTCCCTGGAGATGCTTGGCAAGGAACCAGCTCTGCCCTGGGCAATGACCTGGGACCTACGTTTTTCCGGAGGCAGGGAAGGAAAGGGGAGCAGTGGGTTAGTGTTTCTGCTCTGTGTTGACACAAGCCTGCTGCCCCACATGGGGCTGCTCAGCGGTTGGGTACAGACACCCCGTGCAGGGGTTTAAATAGGAACCGCTTCAAAGAAGTCTAGAAGTAGAACATGGGTCGGAGCAGCAGGCAGGTTGGAATAAGCCAAGGTCTGCGGGCAGGCTGAGCTCAGAAGTGGGGAGAGCACGTGAGGAGGGAGCGTGGAGGCCAAGTTGCGGGTGCAGGTGAGGGGCCTGCGCCCTTGGCACGGGCTCTGCGCCCGCTGCAGTGGGACACGCCGCTTTCCTGCCCCGCCACCAGCTGCGGAGTCGGTGGCACAGCCTGGCACTGTGCTCCGTGCCGTGGCTTTCAGTATCCTTCCTGCAGAGTGGGACCAGCAGAGACTGTAAAACCCAAGGTGCACGAACACCTTGCAAGGATGCCGTGAATGTGCTAAAACCTCTGGAAGAAAAGCGGGTCCAGTACCCACCTGGCAGCCCCCGAGCAGCGCAGGCCCAGAGCTCGCCTAAAGCTGAGCTCGTCCGGGGCCAGCCCTGCGGCCAGGATGACGGCCTGGGCGCCGGGCCAGCCGGGCAGCTTGTCAAGGCTCCGCCAGGGCCTGGGACCACAGGGCCGTACGTCCCGAGGCCTCCGCTCACGTCGCCTGCGCCATGTTCGTGAGCGCTAGTTCTTAGTAAGTGCCGGGGAGACTTTGAGAACGTCTAAACTCAGCCCAGCTGTGGCAGTTGGTTTATTGCTTTCAGCTGGTACTTGAACCCGGGTCCTGGTCTTGGAGTCTTTCCCAGGTTTAATCCCCGGAGCTTTCTCTGCAGCTGTATGACACTGCGCTGACCCCGAATGAGGATAGGAAAATAGAACCGGTGCCAAGCCAGAGTCTCTTTTTCATTTGGAGTCTGGCTGTCTGCCCATGACCAGGGTTACATAATGGGAAACATAGCTGGGGCTCTGGAGAGCCCGCGTTTCACCACGCTGCCCAGACCTTCGCGTTCTGATGCTATATATCTTCCTAATTGTAGCTCGGATGCATTTATCACACTGCTGGATTTGAGTCCTTACAATAAAAAAAAAAAAAAAAAAAACGAAAGAAAAGAAAAAACACCAAATTCCTCAGCTTGCTGCTTTCCCTGTTGGACAGAGACAGAGGGAAAGGTGCGAGGGGTGAGCGCTGCTCGAACTCGGCACGCAGCGCCGAGTGACACAGGAGAGGGCTTTGGGAGGCAGGAAGGGAGGCTCAGGAGGCTGCGTCCTTGGGGCTCTTTTCTTGGCAGTGACTTGGGAATGAACCTCACCTCTTGGCAGGTATCTGCTCCCTAGCCAGGGACTCGGCAGTCCCTGTGCAGCGTGGATGGGAAGCTGCAGCTTTCCCCCAAACCGCTGCCTTTGGTCTAGAATATCCATCCAGCTCTTAGCTGTGTTGGGCGATCGCTGTGCCTCAAAGGATGCCCTGGGAGATTTTTTTTTTTTTTTTTTTTTTTTTTTAGGAGAGAAGGCTATAAAGATGCTGCCTGGATCCCTCTCCTGGGGCTAGAGAGTCTATTTGAGGAACAAGTCATGTTCTTCCCATCGTACCTGTTTGGGAAGAGGACTCGGCAAGCTTTCCTTGGCTCCTTTTTAGTTGTGCCGTTCCAGTGTAGTAGCTAAATCTGATCATGGACGTCCCTGTCTCAGAGCAGCAGAGTGTCCTGTTTCTTGGGAATTGCTTGTCTAGATGAGGCTGCTTGAATGCAGGTGCTCCCAGGTCTTCTAGCCAGGTCCATACCTTAAAATTCAGTGGCCTCTCTGCTTTCTTCATGGCAAGAAATGTGTTGAGGACTGAGGCATGATTGCAGGGATGGCGCTGCCGTACAGCCGGATCAGAGCAGCGTCTTTCCCTCAAGTTGTCCCCATAGGGATCTGCAGAGATGGGCAGGATACATGGTGAGTCCTGAGGAGAGCAGAGTGATTTTTTCCTAAGGCAGGGATAGCAGCAATGTGTACAGAGGAGAGGGAAGGGCGATCTCCAAGGTGGAGGGTGAAATGATGGTGCAGCCCAGGGCCGGTTCATGCTCCGAGACGGGGCGGCTGAGGGGCTCGGGTGCAGTCAGCTGCTTTCATTCAAGTCAAGTCCACCTCCTTTTGGGACCCAGATGGGAGAGGAGGCTGAGATGGGAGAGAAGGTTGTGTGTGGAAGAGCAAAACTTGTGCTTGCTGTTCGTTATGGACCCATTGCTACGTGAAATGCAGGAATTGCTGGGGAAGCTGCTGGGTGGATAATCTGCTCCAGGGCTGACCCTGGAGAATCTGCGCTCCTCCGCGGCACAGCTGAGGGCCTCTCGGTTTGGGGAGCTTGTCTGCAAGCATTTAAAAATGGTTAATTTAAACCAAGTATTAAATTAAATCCAAAAGCTCTGAACAAATTCTAGAGCTTACCTTTCCAGAAGGATCTGCCAGATCTCTCTCATCACATCGCTCTTGAGGAGAAGTGTCACTGAGATGGCAGCTCCCATGGGGAGAGATGGACACAGCCTTGAATGAAGTGCCAAGACCTTGTTGGAGCTGTTGGAGACTAAATGGAAAATCCCTTTCCCAGATTGCAGCCCTGTTAGTAATGCTGGCCACCAAAGTTTCCCTATCAAGACATCAAAGGGAGGATTCAGAGGTGTCTCACTAGAGTAAACCTGGCTGAGAATGAAGGTGAAGTCGAGCGAAGCAGGAGCCAAAAGACGCCCTAGAGAGGGGCTCTGTTTTAAAGCAGAGGCTGGTCGGGAGAGGCTGCGTGTCCTCAGGGGCGCAGCGTCTCCCTGGAAGTGCTGGCAGGTCTGGGAGAGCGGGATGGTTTTGTGCAGAACCCAAGTGCAGGGAGCACCACACGGATGGTGCCATGGGAGGCAGCAGCTGGAACCCTCGTCCCCTGCCTGATGCCCGGGGCTGTCCCCTGCTCCGGGCAGCTCTGCCGTGCCCGGGCAGGATTCGGATGCCAGCGCAGGGGGTGCCGGTGGCCCCTCGGGCCCCGGCTCGCGGGCCATGTGCGTGGCAGCGCCGTGGGCCGCGGCTCGGCAGCACAATGCAGGGCTTCTTTCGCTGCGCTCTTTCCGGGTTTGTTCTGCAGCTGTGGAGTTTGAATGTTAGTGTTTAAACAAGCTGGTATTACACAGGAAACGGCCACCTCCACAGGCCCCCGCAGGCTCGTAACATGGGGTCATTGTACTCGATATTAATCACCAGGCGGGCCCGCTCCCCCAGTGAAGATGGTGCCTTAGGCGGGAGCGCCCGGGCTTCGCTCCCGGGGCCGGTGAGGACCCATTGGGGACCCACTGGGGACCCGGTGGGCAGTGGCTCTGTCCCTCGCCCGGCTCTCCGTGCATCCCGTGGCCGCGGTGCAGCCCCGGGCCGCGCTCCAGCCCCTGCACTTGGCCGTGCACTTGCGCGGCGCTCGCGCCGTCGCCGGCCCGGGCTGCGTCCTGTCGGCCCGCAGCTGGGCTGCGCTCGCACTGACAGCTACATTAAACCTGGAATCCTGAGGCAATAAAAAAGAAATTAACTCTTATTTTTTTTTCCTGTCCTAGAGGAATAAGCAAATGTAAATGCGCCTGTTGGGAAGTGAATGAACCCCCGTTCGGAGGAAAGACCTCGCGCTAACCCCCCGCTCGCTTCCTCGGCTAAAAGCCCCGGGAGCCGCGGGCCGGGGCTGCCTGCGCGGAGGGACTCGGCACCGGGGCACTCGCAGGTGGCTTGGAGCAGAGGCTGCAGCGCAGGCGGGTGACATAAGGCAGCAACACCTGGCCTGGGAAGGGAGAAGGCGCCCGAGGGGGCTCGCGGGGACCCCGCGGGCTTGCAGGGCAGCGCTCGCCGACCAACTCGGTGTTGAGAGCTGCCCGGGAGGCAAAGGCAGGAGGTTGTCGGCCCCTCTCGCTGCTGTTGCTGCCTCCGCGGCGCGGGAGGAAGGCAGGGGAGCGGCGGCAGAGCCACCCTGGCTGCCCCTAGGGCGGCTCCATGGGGTGCTGCGCATGCCAGGGTGCTGTGGGTGCTGCACAAGGAACCAGGGCGGCTTCAGGAAAGGGAGCTGGAGTGGAAACTTAACGCGTCCAGCGCAGAGGACAGATGTGGCGAGGCACTACGGGCAGCCCGGGATGAGGAGCACAGTGACAGCGACTGCTCTCACGCTCGGGTCAGGGGCTGCCGTGCGGGGACGGCCCCGGGGCTGCGGCGCGGGGCGAGGAGGGGAGGTGACGAGGCGCAGGATTAGCTGCCAGGGATGTTCGTGGCAGCAGTGGCAGCTCGGCCACTGTCCCCAGGGCGCTTTTTAGCACTGTGTGTGAAACCCATTGCACGGTCAGGGCTTCACCATCTCTCATCCCTGCTCTGTCTTGCCCCATGTCCTACCACTCTCTCTGCCTCCCTGCTTATTTCTGCCTCTGGTTGCAGCCCCGTTTTGGAGGGTTACAGGTGAGGTCTCCGCTTGGCTTTTCCCCCCTTTCCTCCACGCCAACCCCATGCACCTGGCTGCGAGCATCCCCTGCGCGGGTACCGGCAGCGCTGCTGTTTTCCCTGTGGATCCAGGCATCCTCCCTGCCCACCCAATACCCGGGGCACCGTGTGCCAGGGCTCACACAGCCCGGCCGGGGCACCGGGACTGGCCGAGCCTGCCGGCCCCTGCGCATCTCCCCTGGGCACAGCTCGCCTTGGAGGTGGCCCAGAGCAGCCCTATCGCATCCGGTGCTTGTCTCTGCAGCCCGGGCCGGAGGATAAACTATCAGGGCTGTGGGGCAGTGGATCATTCCTCTTATTATTTTCTTCTTTTGCAGATAGGGGTCGTGGAAAGTTCAGTTCCTTTTAACCCTCGCAGCTCTGTTTATTTTCCAGCTGGTAGCACAAACGCAGCGTTTCCCATTACATCACAGAGGGCCTCGGACAGATCCCTCCGAAAAAACGTGTTGCAACTGTTTATTTTTTTCCATATTTAAACATTTCTGACAGCCAGACCTGGCCGAGCCAAGCGATGGAGCTTTGTGAATGAACCCAGCTCCCGGTGTCTGTGCGCAGAGGGCTTTGAAGGACCTCATCTCCTCGGCCGCGCGCTGGCCGGCGCTGCCTCGGGGACGTGGGCGACTCTCTGCGTTACATGTGTGCTGATTACGTGCCGGGCCGTGATTAATGGCCGCTCGTTCTGCCTGGCTCCCAGGACGCTCTTGAAAACAAGATGTTTCATTTCAGTGCGCTTTCCTGGTACATTGATTCCCGTAAATAACCCGGCGCAGACTCGGTCCACCTGGAGCAGTTCAAAGAGCAGGGGGGCCTCCCCGCAGCCGCGCGGCGCCCGCGGCCACTGCAGCACCCCCGGGTGCCCGCGGCACCCTGCACCTTGCAGGGCTCACAGGCCACCCGAGCCCTGCGTGGGCGCTCGAGGAGGGCGCGAAGCCGAAGCGAGCGCCCCGGGCCCGGGTGTGAGCGGCCGGACCAAGGAGCATCGGGCTGGGCTGGCCGCGGCTCCCGGCGGGCTTGCGATTGAGCAAGAGGCGGCTCCGCTGCCATCTGGAAGGAGCCCGGCTGCCGTCAGCCCCACGCGGGGGAAGCGGCCTCCCGTGCCCGGGGAGGGCGAAATGCCGGGAAGCGCCGGCTCCGGAGCCCGGCCCGGCGCTGCGGGATGGGCAGCCGGCGTCCCCTCGGGGATGAGGGGCCCCAGCCCTTCCGGGCTCCCCTTGCAGCGCCCACTGTCGCTCACGTCTCTCCCGCTCCTCACAGGGTCTCGGAGGACGTGTGGGCGACGCTGGCCGACTTCTGCAACGTCCTGACCATGGTGAATCAGTCGGAGGTGCCCTTGTACAAGGACCCCGACGAGGACCTGGCCCTGCTCAGCCTCGAAGAGGACCGGCTGCTCTCGGGCTTCGTCCCGCTGCTCGTCGCCCCTCAGGAGCCCTGCTACGTGGAGAGGACCTCGGACAAGGTCAGCAGTAGGCCAAACATCCCCCCTCGATTCCTCCAGACTTTTATTCTTGGGAAGTTTTTCTGTGCAAACGGAACACGATTAAGTCATTGAGAAGGGTGTTAAGGGAAAATATCGACCTTTCAGCCGCTGACATCCAGCGCTCTGTGTCATGAAAACCCCTCTCGACTTCCTCTGGTGTGTGTGTGCGCGCTGGCATGTTGTATATACGATCATTTCCTCACTTGTTTAAATAGTGCAGCTTGTGTTGGCAGTGCTCTCCGTGCACTCCAAATGGTTTGCATCATGCTTAAAGCACCCTCCCCCTCCCCCCGGCCACAAAACTCGCCGTTCGGAAAGAAGCCAGGACTTTTTTCCTCCTCTAAAGAGGAGAGTGATAAATAGGTGACTAGAGAGAAGCAGACACCATGTGTTAACGTACAAAAGGCTTTTAGGAATATGAAGCATTCCCCACTGCCCGCTCTCTATTTTCCTTCCTTTGCTCTAGGAGCCCGCTCGAGGCTGAACTTTCCTTGGGCTGTTTGTTTTTAGAATAATGAAATCAGTTCCCTTGTTGATGTGGGGTTTGGGGGCTGCGCTCTGCCACCACCTGGCCAGAAGGGACCTTGGGGGCTGCGCTCGGATAACGCGCTCGGGCCCCGTGGGGACGGACGAGGCGCGATGGCATTTGCGTCACAGGCCCTCGGTGGCCCGCGGGGATGAGAGGGGCTCTCTGCAGCTCCCTGCTTGGAGGCAGAGCTGCAGCACCAGGTCCTCTGCTCTCCCAGAGCTGCCGCGCTGCTTCCCAGCGTGTTCCGGGATGGATATGAATGGGCGGAGAGGCAGGGGCTGCTTCCCTGCGATGGCAGCGTGCGCTCCCCCTCCTGCTGCTCCTTTTCTGATGTGTCTGTGAGAAATTCGGGACCTGTGTCAAGGGCTGCCGCCGCGGTGCAGCTTTCCCTTTGCTTCCCTGCCTGCCCTGGCCGTGCCCACAGCAGTGCCCACGGCGGCGGAGGCAGTAAACCCAAGAGCTCTCCCGCTTTGGGAAAGCATCTTATTCCAGGTGAGAAAACTCCACTGTGGAGAGAGGAAAAAAGAAAAAAAACACATTTTAAGACTCTATTTGAAGGGCTCAAAATATCACACAGGGAAGTTGCTCTTTCTGCCCCATGGAAGCTTGTCTGTCCAGGCAGTCGACCTGGGCAAACGTGCGACCCTGGCACCTGCAGCCCTGATCCCGGGTGCCCAGGAAGCAGGTCCGTTCAGAGCGTGCCCCGGGATGGGGTCCGTCTCCATCCGCCTCCTATGAGGGCGCAGCCGCTTCTTCAGAGTGCCATCTACCTGCCCTGCCAAGCACTTGCGCTCCGGAGTGGCTCCGGAGCGGCTCCATCCCAGGGCTCACCTGAGCCCTGTTTCTCGCTTCCCCCTTTCCCCTTGGTTTCTAGCTCTTCATGCAGCAGCTGCACGGCAGGGCTGGTGAGAGAGGTGCCTTTCTAGCCGAGCGGTGACTGCACAAACCTCAGGGACTTTGAGACCTCCCGGTGCCTGTTCAACCCCGCCGGGAGGCTGAAGAGGCAGCGCAGACCCCAGGCAGGCTGGGCTGCCCCATTTCTTAGGTCTCCTCAATGGATTTAGTTTGTTTTTGAAACTAGGATCCCACCCAGCATGATAGGAAACACCCTACACCCTGTGCAGGTCTCTGGTCCCCTAGTTTGGGTGAGTTAAGCTGGGCCCAACTGCATCGTCCTGTCCCCGTGTCCCTGCCCAAAGCACCGAGCGTGTCCCACGCAGGTGGGCAGAGGGGACCACGGCTCCCTCCACCGTGCTGAGCAGAAGCAGCAGGTTGGGCAGGGTCTGTTCTCAATCCAGAGCTGGTCGGTGTTTTTATTAATGTTCTGAGCAGGGAAACGGCGAGCGTGCGTATTCCCCAGGCAACGCCAAAGAGGATCAAGGGGAGACTAGTGAGACTGATCAGACATCTCCAAAGCCTGATTCCCAAGGAGAGACCGAAAGAACCCTGGGGCTCTTTAGAGAAGATCCAGGGAAAATGATGTAAGCTTTCAATTACAGAAAAAAACTGTTGCAGAGAGAAAGAGAACAAGCCCCGCTCCAGCTCCGCGCTGCGTGCCACGAGCAGGAATGGGTGCAAATCGCAGCCGAGCAGATTAGGCTTAGACTTTAGGAAGGGCTTCATAGCAGAGGGTAGTTCAGCCCTTGGAATAGACTCCTTGGAGAGGCTGTGGAACCTGTTCAGCGCTAGAGGTTTGTAAGAGCAGGCTGGGTGGCACTCGCGGTGGAGCGTGGGGAGAGCAGAGCTGCCCTGGGAAAGGAGGGCAAGTGGCCTCTCTGGACCCCCCCAATCCATTTTAGGGGATTCGGTAGTAGATTCGGTGGTGCTAACGAAAGGACCTGGCGTGGCAGCTGTGTGACTGCGCTCAGATGGGCTCCGCAGACCCTCTCCAAACCCTGCACGTGTGGCTCGGAGGCATGGAGCAACGAGCCTGGCACGAGCGACGCGGGGAAGAGGCAGAAAGGCAGCGCCCGCTGCCGAGCAGCCCGGCCCGCCGGGGCTGCAGCCAGGCCCGCTGCAGGAACTTGCCCCTTCTGTGCACTTCTCGCTGGTTGCTGGCTGCCTCAGCTGCAAGCAGGTGAGAAGTGGTATTTCCGTTCAGCAGTGACTATTTTCAGTACTGATTTTTCATTCCTGTAGAGCAAGTGGGTTTTTTTTTTTTTTTTTGCGCCCAATTTCCTTCTCTCAGATTTTTAACCTTGGCTTTATTTTCGGACTAAGTTCATCATAGTTCTCTGCTGGAGAGGCAAAGTGCTGCTGTTTGCATGACACCCCGTGAGTATTGTGTGAGCTGGGAGCAGGATTTTCCTATAGCCAAGTGGCTCTGAGAAACTGCTCTGCGATACCTTCCCTATGAGCTGCGTGACTGTTAAGGCACCTTGGACTCTTTACAGCGAGGATAACGTCTCACCTTGCTTCCTGATGCTCCATGTTCTTACCCCCTTGTTTTGCACCACTGTTTCTTAATGCATTTGGAAAAATTCAGAGGAAAGGAATCTGTCTAAAAGCAAGATAAGGGTATTGAACTTAAAATGGCTATTGGCTCTATCCAGAGGATGGGTGTTTTGTAAGTCGGATAGGACAGACACTGTGCTGGCCACTTCTTTCTCTTCTCCAAGTCCCATTTAGTGCATAGAGTGCTGCGTTCAGCCAGCGTTTCTCAACAAGTTGTTGAGCATTTGGCCTGGCTCTTATTTTGAGTGAAAACGCTCTGCCTGCTTTCACTGCCATGAAGCTGCGCGTTCAGATTCCTGCTGGAGCCAGTGTGATGCCGAGAGCTTCCCGGCGTCTCCCGCGCTGCCGCTGAAGCTGTAACCAAGAAAAGCTGGCTCCGGGGTGAGCATAACTTGGTGCTGTTTTCCTGGGCGTATGTTGGGCAGATCTCCCTGCAGCTTGTGTGATGGAACACCATCGAACGTACCAGTCAACAGCAAACTATGCAGCCTGGTGCCTGAGCTGTCAGACCGCGTCTGCAGCGCTCGCAGCCGAGGGAGACGCTGCCAGGAATGGGAGCGCTTGGTGCTCGCGCGAGGGCAGGGAATAACGGTGTGGCTGAGGAGCAGGGAGGAGGAGAAGGTCACGAGCGTGGGTTCCTCGGAGGTGTCTGGTGCTTATGATGGGACTTTCAATGGAAAACACTTGGGCTGTGTTGAGGTTAGAGCAAGTTTGAGTGATGGTTCATCCGAGCCGTGCGTGAGTCTGTTCCTGCGCTGCAGCACATGGCATGTTCTGAGGATCCCAGGCCACGTCCTGCTTTCTTCAGCCGAGGAAATAGCTGAATATTGTTGGTGGCCCGTGGAGCTGGTGGCCAGGCTGGAGCAGGGCTGGAGGTTGCGCAGTGGGGAGCAGAACAGGAAGGTCCTTGTCCTCCATGTGGCCACACATCACCACCCGTCCCTGCAGCCCCTGATCACACACTGCCACATGCCCGGCCGGGGAGACGTGGAGGAGAAAGTGTTAATGTCCCTTCCCACAATAAAACTCTCTGCATGGGGGGTCCTGAAACCAGAGCCTCTCTCTCCTCCCCCAGCCCTGACACACGTTAATAAAAGGTTTTTAAACGCCAATAAAAAGGCAGCAGCCCCAGCTCACCAGGTCCGGGGCCCAGGGTCCTGGGGAAGGCACTTCACAAATGTGTTTTTTGCATTTTCAGGCTTTTGGCTGGTGAATAAGATTGAGGAGAAATACTCCTTCCCCTGATAACAATACAGGGAGACGCAGGATCAGCAGTGTGTGGATTAAAACCAGACGGTGCATGATTAATACATATGCTTATAGGGCTAGTCACTGTGGTTCCCTCCTCTGAAACAGAAAGGCAGCACTTTTTTTTTTCCTTTTTTTTCCCCTCTTTTTGCATGTACATGCTCAAGCAGCCTGTCTCCCATACCCACCGCTCAGCCCCACAAGTAAGTGTGCAAACGGGAGGCTCTGGAAGGTAACTCGGCTGCACTGTGCCGTCCGGAACGCTGTCCAGAGCACGGACGCCGGCTCGCGCGGGGCTCCTCCACCTCCGGGGTGGCCAGAGAGGTTTTCACCCTTGCTGAGGTTGCTCTTTCACCTGTACCCGCTCACCTGTCAGGGCAGCTCGCCGAAAACCTTAGCTCTGTTCTCTTTGAAAAGCACACATCTTTCCTCCTCTGGACTCTCCAGTGCAGATGGACGTTTCAGCTTTTCCCCTCGCTGTAATTCCCTCATCATCCTCTGGATTTGCAGAGTTAACAGCATTTGAATTAGCTATTTAGGAGCTGTTTTGTAGTAGGCTTGGGCTAAAATTAGTCCTGTTATTCAGTTCCCATATTTACACTATTTCAGTCGTCTTAAGACTTTCAGATATCTCTTGGCAATGTGCAGTAGCGTCTGATGCGTCTCAAAAAGAGAGTCCCGGGTTTAAAAGTCCGTGAGGAATGAGTGTCCATGTGATGGGACTCTGCCATGCTTCTAAAACCCAGAA